AGCAGGAGCAGTAGCAGAGTAGTGGTAGTGTTGTGTCATCGCTGTGATGATGTCTCCTTCCTTGTGTTTGTGTGTGTCAGCGTTTTGCGTCGTCACATCTTGTGCGGTCTGTTCACAGATCGCATCTTCATGAACAGCCGGATACGTCGATTCTCCTCCTCAGGCCAACTCCTCCTCCTCCTCATGCCACCTCCTTATGCCACCTCCTTCTCCTCCTAATGCCACCTCGTTATGAACGCCGATCGCGTCATTCGTTGCATCCGCTGTATTTTATTTCTCATTATTTTTGTGACGTCGTTGACCTTGATCCCCTCGTGCAAATGAGACTCTACTCCGGTTGGTGTGTTGAGTTGTCGCCTCCTTGAAGCAATTCAACTTGAAACGCGGCGTTTTCAATTTTCGCTGCCTAAGAAGTTGGAGCCCGGAGCCAGAGTGCGGGGCTTTCTCTCAGCTTGTTTTTTTAAGATGTTCAAACACAATGTAGATTACCGTCTGCATTCACCACACAAACTCGTGGCAAAGCATGCAAGCAAACACGCCATGGTAATAATAATAATGATACAGGGTGTTTAAAAAAAGATGGACCCGATTTGAAATCGCTATATCTCTGAAATTGGTCCATCTTTTTCAAACACCCTGTAGATGCATTGTCCTTGAAACTGATTGGCCGACACGAGAGACTGCACTTGAAACTGATTGGCCGACACCAGAGACTGCACTTGAAACTGATTGGCCGACACCAGAGACTGCACTTGAAACTGATTGGCCGACACCAGAGACTGCACTTGGAACTTGATTGGCCGACACCAGAGACTGCACTTGAAACTGATTGGCCGACACCAGAGACTGCACTTGAAACTGATTGGCCGACACCAGAGACTGCACTTGAAACTAATTGGCCGACACCAGAGACTGCACTTGAAACTGATTGGCCGACATCAGAGACTGCAGCCTTCTTTGGGGCCTAGACTCACCAGTGTCAGACCAGAGAACAACGGCAAAAGGCGACCAGCACAAAGACAATGCAAGTGTAATGACCTGTTGGGCCAGGAGGGATTACCACGGGTATGGGTGCGTTTTGTAATAACCAACTATAAGGGTGACGTAACTGGGATGAAGGTTAAAGGTGGTGGGCAGTCGGGAAGCTCTGGGAACCTGCTCGAAGTTTCTAGAAGGGGGCGTGGCCGGAGGCGGGGCCTGGCCACGCCGAGGAGTATATAAGGGGGAGATGGGATTGGAGGTTCGGGGCTGTCGTGGAGTCCGGGCCTTGGCAGCTGTCGCTGTCTTCGCCGCCATCTCTTCTTCATCGTCCGGCCGCATGGCCGATCCGCTGTACGGTTATCATCATCGTCGTCGCTATATTAGTCAGCCAGCTAGAAAAGTTAGACGCCGACGATGGGGCTGTGTGGATGGGTCAGCAATGCGTAGCCCTATATATATGTCGCTGAGTTTATCGTTGTGCCTGTAAGTGTGAGAAATAAATAAGGTGCCCTCTACACGTCGTATCTTGGAAGACGCTCACTATTCAAGATGCTGAAAAAATAAGAAGAGGTTTTACCCACGTGCATGCAGTCATCGACTTATGAACTTCCGACTTACAAACACCCGACTTAGGAATCCCCAATTTACGAACGATTGGTTTACGAACACCCGACTTCTGAACCAGCTTCTGTGAAATATGTTTTTTTGGCATCAACGTAAGACGTAAAGTCTTGCTTTGTAAAGTTAACCGCGGCACTATTTTGTCCGGCTGAGCGATCCTCCGCCAGATGTAATAAGTCAGCCTCGTGCTGGGAGTGGGTGTTTGTGGGGGGGAGGGGCATTAAAATATTCAGCAGATTACTGTGTTTCCGGCTTACGAACTGTTAGACTATGTTCGTAAGTTGATTACTCCAAATTGTATACACGGATTCCTTTGCTTACGAATGAATTTGGTTGCAGAAGTCTGTTCGTAAGTCGATTTGTTTGTAGGTTCAACTTTACTCCTGTCGATTCCAAATATGTTGTACGGCGTGTACACTAAATACGGGGAATGGCTTTACAAGTTGTATAATCTTCTGCAGATGTAGATGCCACCGGTTCGTCATGTTCTGTAGTTGTAGATACGACTGGTTCTTCGTGTTATGCAGATGTAGATGCCACTGATTCTTCACGTTCTGCAGATGTAGATGCCACTAGTTCTTCATGTTCTGTAGATGTAGATGCCACTGGCTCTTCATGTTCTGCAGATGTAGATGCCACTGGTTCTTCATGTTCTGCAGATGTAGATGCGACTGGTTCTTCGTGTTATGCAGATGTAGATGCCACTGATTCTTCATGTTCTGCAAATGTAGATGCCACTGGTTCTTCGTGTTCTGCAGATGTAGATGCCACTGGTTCTTCATGTTCTGCAGATGTAGATGCCACTGGTTCTTCATGTTCTGTAGTTGTAGATGCCACTGGTTCTTCATGTTCTGTAGATGTAGATGCCACTGGTTCTTCGTGTTCTGTAGATGTAGATGCCACTGGTTCTTAATGTTCTGCAGATGTAGATGCCACTGGTTCTTCATGTTCTGTAGTTGTAGATGCCACTGGTTCTTCATGTTCTGCAGATGTAGATGCCACTGGTTCTTCATGTTCTGCAGATGTATATGCCACTGGTTCTTCATGTTCTGCAGATGTAGATGCCACTGGTTCTTCATGTTCTGCAGATGTAGATGCCACTGGTTCTTCACGTTCTGCAGATGTAGATGCCACTGGTTCTTCACGTTCTGCAGATGTAGATGCCACTGGTTCTTCACGTTCTGCAGATGTAGATGCCACTGGTTCTTCACGTTTTGCAGATGTAGATGCCACTGGTTCTTCACGTTCTGCAGATGTAGATGCCACTGATTCTTCATGTTCTGTAGATGTAGATGCCACTGGTTCTTCATGTTCTGCAGATGTAGATGCCACTGGTTCTTCATGTTCTGCAGATGTAGATGCCACTGGTTCTTCATGTTCTGCAGATGTAGATGTCACTGGTTCTTCATGTTCTGCAGATGTAGATGCCACTGGTTCTTCATGTTCTGCAGATGTAGATGCCACTGGTTCTTCACGTTCTGCAGATGTAGATGCCACTGGTTCTTCACGTTCTGCAGATGTAGATGCCACTGGTTCTTCACGTTCTGCAGATGTAGATGCCACTGGTTCTTCACGTTCTGCAGATGTAGATGCCACTGATTCTTCACGTTCTGCAGATGTAGATGCCACTGGTTCTTCACGTTCTACAGATGTAGATGCCACTGGTTCTTCATGTTCTGTAGATGTAGATGCCACTGGTTCTTTACGTTCTGTAGATGTAGATGCCACTGGTTCTTCACGTTCTGCAGATGTAGATGCCACTGGTTCTTCATGTTCTACAGATGTAGATGTCACTGGTTCTTCACGTTCTGCAGATGTAGATGCCACTGGTTCTTCATGTTCTGCAGATGTAGATGTCACTGGTTCTTCACATTCTGCAGATGAAGATGCCACCACCGCCATCTATTACGCAGCAGCTGAACTTACGACTCTCGGTCCGAACAGGCAACTGGACATACGGACCAGCTTCGTTCGTATCTCTGAAAGTTCGTAAGTCGAATGTTCCGTGAGTAGAGGAGTCCCCCTGCACTCGGGAGTGTTCACACAATTCACTGCCAGGGGGCAAGCAATCCGGGCTGCTAACAGCAGGGGGCACGCGCGCGCTGCGCTCTGGGAAACAAAAAACGGCGATCCCGCGTGGCACCGTCCGTACCAACAGAGGCCGGGGCGATGGAAGGGAGGTGTGTGGTGGGGGGGTGGTGGTAGACTCTGCTGGAGCGCTGGGAGGGAGGTGTGTGGTGGGGGGGTGGTGGTAGACTCTGCTGGAGCGCTGGGAGGGAGGTGTGTGGTGGGGGGGTGGTGGTAGACTCTGCTGGAGCGCAAATTTCGTCTCTCCCACGGCGGACATCGTCTCACGGCACAGCGAGTGGGATGGCGACCGCTGCTGCTGCTGCTGCCGCTGGGGGCAACTGCAAGCGAGCGAGAGCGTGTTTCAAGAATCACGCTCCGAATGTCCACTGATGGTGCGGCAGGAGGATAGAATCCGTTGAGCTGTGAAGTTCCCTTCCCACCGCGCGGGCTATGAACGTCGCAGCGACGAAGAGTTAACCCGACAAAATAAAAACTCGACAGGGGTTTAGTTAGGGGGGGATGGGGGGGGCGAGGCAATGCCTGGGAGAGCAGAGCGCGGCACGTGACTGCCGTCGCAGCTCAGGAAGGGAGCGCGGCGAGCGGGTGGAGCTGTCCGCTGCGAGCCTCAGCGATGGCCACGGCGGAGCCCTTCGTTGGGGGAGCTGGGGAGGAAGTCTCCCTCCACGGCGGAGCTGGGGAGGAAGTCTCCCTCCATCGCTCAGCGAGGCCGCTTCCACGCTCGGAGCCACGCGGCACGGGATCAGAAGCGCGCAGAGACTCGTGGCTCCACATTAACCCTCTCACGTCACTCTCACTCCACATGAACCCTCTCACGTCACCCTCCCCCTCTCACTCCACATTAACCCTCTCACGTCACCCTCACTCCACATTAACCCTCTCACGTCACTCTCCCCCTCACTCCACATGAACCCTCTCACGTCACCCTCCCCCTCTCACTCCACATTAACCCTCTCACGTCACCCTCACTCCACATTAACCCTCTCACGTCACCCTCACTCCACATGAACCCTCTCACGTCACTCTCACTCCACATGAACCCTCTCACGTCACTCTCACTCCACATGAACCCTCTCACGTCACTCTTCCTCCACATTAACCCTCTCACGTCACTTTCACTCCACATGAACCCTCTCACGTCACTCTCACTCCACATGAACCCTCTCACGTCACTCTCCCCCTCACTCCACATTAACCCTCTCACGTCACTCTCCCCCTCACTCCACATGAACCCTGTCACGTCACCCTCACTCCACATTAACCCTCCCACGTCACTCTCACTCCACATTAACCCTCTCACGTCACCCTCCCCCTCTCACGTCACTTAGACTCTCCCCCTCACTCCACATTAACCCCTCCCGCTCCCCCTCCTCAGTCCGCATTAATTCTCTCGCTCTCGCTTCGCTTTGACTCTCTCACTCTCACTGGAAGTGTTTTGCTCTTCCCTCTCAGCCAACCAAGACTCTCTCCTTCACGTGTCACTGAAACTCGCCTCCGGCGAGGGTCTGACGGCGAAACACCGACTCCAGAACACGCAAGGTACGATCCAACAACCACCACGACTACCACCGCCACAACCACAACAACGTGCAGCACAATCACGACCACAACAAACACGATCAAAGCCACAGCAATCGCATCGACCACGATTATTCTACCCCGTGTCCTAGACTCTGCCCCGTGTCCTAGACTCTGCCTCGTGTCCTAGACTCTGCCCCGTGTCCTAGACTCTGCCCCGTGTTCTAGACTCTACCCGTGTCCTAGACTCTGCCTCGTGTCCTAGACTCTACCTCGTGTTCAAGACTCTGCTCGTGTCCTAGACTCTACCCGTGTCCTAGACTCTACCCGTGTCCTAGACTCTACCCGTGTCCTAGACTCTACCCATGTTCTAGACTCTACCCGTGTCCTAGACACTACCCGTGTCCTAGACTCTGCCCATGTCCTAGACTCTGCCTCGTGTCCTAGACTCTACCCCGTGTCCTAGACTCTACCCCGTGTCCTAGACTCTACCCCGTGTCCTAGACTCTACCCCGTGTTCTAAACACTACCCCGTGTCCTAGACTCTACCCGTGTTCTAGACTCTGCCCGTGTCCTAGACTCTACCCGTGTCCTAGACTCTGCCCGTGTCCTAGACTCTACCCCGTGTCCTAGACTCTACCCGTGTCCTAGACTCTGCCCCGTGTCCTAGACTCTACCCGTGTCCTAGATTTTGCCCCGTGTCCTAGACTCTACCCGTGTCCTAGACTCTACCTCGTGTCCCAGACTCTACCTCATGTCCTAGACTCTGTCCCGTGTCCTAGACTCTACCCGTGTCCTAGACTCTACCCGTGTCCTAGACTCTGCCCCGTGTCCTAGACTCTACCCCGTGTCCTAGACTCTGCCCGTGTCCTAGACTCTGCCCCGTGTTCAAGACTCTACCCCGTGTCCTAGACTCTACCCGTGTCCTAGACTCTACCCCGTGTTCAAGACTCTACCCCGTGTCCTAGACTCTGCCCCGTGTCCTAGACTCTGCCCCGTGTTTTAAACTATACCCGTGTCCTAGACTCTGCCCGTGTCCTAGACTCTACCCGTGTCCTAGACTCTGCCTCGTGTTCTAGACTCTACCCATGTCCTAGACTCTGCCCCGTGTCGTAGACTCTACCTCGTCTCCTAGACTCTACCCGTGTCCTAGACTCTACCCCATGTCCTAGACTATACCCCGTGTCCTAGACTCTACCCCGTGTCCTAGACTATACCCCGTGTCCTAGACTCTACCCCGTGTCCTAGACTATACCCCGTGTCCTAGACTCTACCCGTGTCCTAGACTCTACCCGTGTCCTAGACTCTACCCGTGTCCTAGACTCTGCCCCGTGTCCTAGACTCTACCCCGTGTCCTAGACTCTGCCCGTGTCCTAGACTCTGCCCCGTGTTCAAGACTCTACCCCGTGTCCTAGACTCTACCCGTGTCCTAGACTCTACCCCGTGTTCAAGACTCTACCCCGTGTCCTAGACTCTGCCCCGTGTCCTAGACTCTGCCCCGTGTTTTAAACTATACCCGTGTCCTAGACTCTGCCCGTGTCCTAGACTCTACCCGTGTCCTAGACTCTGCCTCGTGTTCTAGACTCTACCCATGTCCTAGACTCTGCCCCGTGTCTTAGACTCTACCTCGTCTCCTAGACTCTACCCGTGTCCTAGACTCTACCCCATGTCCTAGACTATACCCCGTGTCCTAGACTCTACCCCGTGTCCTAGACTATACCCCGTGTCCTAGGCTCTACCCGTGTCCTAGACTCTGCCCCGTGTCCTAGATTCTACCCGTGTCCTAGACTCTACCCCGTGTCCTAGACTCTGCCCGTGTCCTAAACTATACCCGTGTCCTAGACTCTGCCTGTGTCCTAGACTCTGTCCGTGTCCTAGACTCTACCCCGTGTCCTAGACTCTGCCCCGTGTCCTAGACTCTGCCCGTGTCCTAAACTATACCCCGTGTTTTAAACTCTACCCCGTGATCTAGACACTACCCTGTGCTCATCACGGCGTCGATCGCGATGGGCCCAATCTCCGCTTTGGCCCTCCTCGCCCTCACCGCTGCGCTGCCCCAGGACCCCGCGACCCCGGGGTGCCACCTTTACCGTGAGTCGCCAGCATTGGGTGGAGCCGCCGCTGGGTGGAGGCTCCCGCCGTTATGGCTCCCGCGGGAGGGGGTAGCTGGGTGGGGGGAGGGGCCCGCAGAGCCCTGTGTAGGAGCTCGTCTAGTGGGCAAGGCGCTGAGAAGTGGCTCAGGGAATCGACGACTCCTGACACTGCTTCGTGGGCTATGCAACATCCGACTGTGGGCTCCCCCACCTGTTTCTCCCGACTCACTTTTAACTTAAATAGCTACGGTGCTGTTTTTTGTTTAACCCCGTATACAATATTAATGATTCGCCTATCACTCTACTATACGTATATGTCTTTTTTGGTTCTTTCGGTAAAGTCACGTAGAATGAGAATAAAATAATATTGTGTTATATTAGTTTATTTTATTTTATCAATGTATTATTTTATTCTCATTCTACGTGACTTTACCGAAAGAACCAAAGAAGATGAATCCTTGCAGTCACGAAAGCTTTAAATCAAAATATACGTATATGATTATTATTCTACATACGTAGTGTCGTCTGTGCGTGCGGGTGGCGTGCATCGCGCACGCCGTCAGCCGTAGACGAGGTGGTCGCAGGAGGCAGCCCTCTGCCCTCTTCATTCGTTGCCGTTGTTGCCGAGCTCACGCCGCCGCTCGTGGCCCCCCCTCTCTCTCTCTCGCACACGACCCCGCTGCCGTGAGCCCCGTTCCCGGACAAGACCCCTGTCCGCGTCGCACCGAAGCTTCGACCACGCGATGATCGAATGACGGCGGCAGCGACGACAACGACGATGACGGCGGCTACGGGACGGGTCCTCTCCCAGAACCGGCAGCCCGGAGCCTCTCGCTCTCCGGTGCTTTTATTCCCCTCGGCGCGGCTTGGCTCCGCCCTAGCCGCGCCTCCCTTCTCGAACCCTCTAGAAGGTTCCAGGGGCTTCCACACGAGGTCTATCGTGACCCTTGCCCCGGTTCCTCCACCCTGCCGGCACAACACACACCGTGTATATGATCAGCGGCGTGTGCGCTTAGTGCTCACCTGCAGTTGCTGCAGCTGGTCACTACACATATACACACATATATTACTATTATTATACAATAATATGTAGGCTATAACTACATATTATTGTATGCTCTATATATAAGATACGACTCTCTCCTTTCTCCCGACTCACTTTTAACTGAAATAGCCACGCGATGTTTTTTTAACCCCGTGTATATAACAATAATTTGCGAAGCTATAACTCTACTGTATATATATATTATTTTGGCTGCTGCACCCTGTGTTGGGGTTTAGAGCAAGACAGTCTGACAGTGTTAATACGATAAAAGATGTGAAGGCAACGATGCTCAACAATCAAGTTGTCGTGCGTCTTGCTTGCATGGCGGGCCCCATCAGTCTCGGGTCTCCTCGCAGGGGGTTGTGGATCTCCCAACTTCATTGCTGCTCCCTTGACGCCATCGACAGACGCGCCAGTGGTTCTCTTGGTCCACGGTAGAGCGCAGGCGATTTTTTTTAATGAATCCAAAATATAAATTGGTATTTGTTTACCTGTTGTCTCTGGGGGACCTCATTGTGGCCGACTGGACCCCTGTGGGTCGCATCACGCTGTCACGTACACCCCCCCACCCTCCCCTGAAGGGAGGGGGTGGGGAAGGAGTCCCCTGGACATCACTCAGAGAAGCAACGAGGTGCTCCCCCCCCCCTCATGCTGGGGGCGGTGGCGGAGTTACAGGGTCGGGGCCTTGCTGAGAAGGTGGCAAGGAGATGGAGGCGCACCAATGGATTCTTGAAAATGCGCACGTGGGAAGATTTTGAGTTGTCACCCTCCCTCCTCCCGTCCCCCCAATACGTATGCGACGTGGGTTGGCTTTGCCTTCCGCGAGAAGGCAAAATTCTCACGGTGGAAATTTTCCAAACCTCCCCGTGGAACGGGGCCCTGCTGAATTTTTTTTCTTATAATTTCCAAGACTTAGTGAGGCTTTCCCAAGGCTAATAGGCGCTCTGTGAGTATTGCAAAATTCACGGAGCACTATTTTTTAAAATCTTCTTCCTGGGTATGCCACTTTGTTGGGAAGTGTACAATAGTTGTCCTGTGGATAAAGTCGAACCCACCAGAGGAATGTGGAATGTCCACCCCCTGGCTCGGGGCTGTTAACGGGGCGATGTGCACCGCTCATTCCAGTCGGAACTTCACTTCGACTCAATTATTTGGACGAAGAGTGCCCCTCTCGCGCAGCACCGTCGGTCCGAAGGATTGTTTGACCATACTTCACCACGCTGGTCAGTGCGGGTGGGTGAAAACCCCATTGTATATTATTGGTTCATTCGGTAAAGTCACCACGTAGAAGGGAAACAAAATAATAAAAATATAAAACAATGAGGTGATCACCTGATGATGACTGCTTGTGTTGCAGTCGAAACGTCGTGATAATTTTATCGTTTTATATTTTTATTATTTTATTGTTTCCCTTCTACGTGATTTCACCGAAAGAACCAAGAATATGAATCCCTGCAGTCACGAAAGCTTTAAATCAAAATTTAACCCCATTGTATGTTAACCTACCCAGTGGCGATGAGACAAATCGCATTGTGAGCCAGGTGTAAGTAGTCCCGTGTGCTATGAGAGTCTGTGGGTCTATGTGAGTTTATAGGCTGGTGCCAGCTGTCCCGTGTGCTATGAGAGTGTGGGTCTATGTGAGTTTATAGGCTGGTCCCAGCTGTCCCGTGTGCTATGAGAGTCTGTGGGTCTATGTAAGTCTATAGACTGGTGCCAGCTGTCCCGTGTGCTATGAGAGTCTGTGGGTCTATGTGAGTCTCTAGACTAGTGCCAGCTGTCCCGTGTGCTATGAGAGTCTATGGGTCTATGTTAGTCTATAGACTGGTGCCAGCTGTCCCGTGTGCTATGAGAGTCTGTGGGTCTATGAGAGTCTCTAGACTGGTGCCAGCTGTCCCGTGTGCTATGAGAGTCTGTGGGTCTATGTGAGTCTCTAGACTGGTGCCAGCTGTCCCGTGTGCTATGAGAGTCTGTGGGTCTATGAGAGTCTCTCGACTGGTGCCAGCTGTCCCGTGTGCTATGAGAGTCTGTGGGTCTATGTGAGTCTCTAGAATTGTGCCAGCTGTCCCGTGTGCTATGAGAGTCTGTGGGTCTATGTGAGTCTCTAGACTGGTGCCAGCTGTCCCGTGTGCTATGAGAGTCTGTGGGTCTATGCGAGTCTCTAGACTGGTGCTAGCTGTCCCGTGTGCTATGAGAGTCTGTGGGTCGATGTGAGTCTCTAGACTGGTGCCAGCTGTCCCGTGTGCTATGACAGTCTGTGGGTCTATGTGAGTCTCTAGACTGGTGCCAGCTGTCCCGTGTGCTATGACAGTCTGTGGGTCTATGTGAGTCTCTAGACTGGTGCCAGCTGTCCCGTGTGCTATGTGAGTCTGTGGGTCTATGTGAGTCTATAGACTGGTGCCCATGTGCTATGAGAGTCTGTGGGTCTATGTGAGTCTCTAGACTGGTGCCGGCTGTCCCGTGTGCTATGAGAGTCTGTGGGTCTATGTGAGTCTCTAGACTGGTGCCAGCTGTCCCGTGTGCTATGAGAGTCTGTGGGTCTATGTGAGTCTATAGGCTGGTGCCAGCTGTCCCGCGTGCTATGAGAGTCTGTGGGTCTATGTGAGTCTCTAGACTGGTGCCAGCTGTCCCGTGTGCTATGAGAATCTGTGGGTCTATGTGAGTCTATAGACTGGTGCCAGCTGTCCCGTGTGCTATGAGAGTCTGTGGGTCTATGTGAGTCTCTAGACTGGTGCCAGCTGTCCCGTGTGCTATGAGAGTCTGTGGGTCTATGTGAGTCTCTAGACTGGTGCCAGCTGTCCCGTGTGCTATGAGAGTCTGTGGGTCTATGTGAGTCTCTAGACTGGTGCCAGCTGTCCCGTGTGCTATGAGAGTCTGTGGGTCTATGTGAGTCTCTAGACTGCTGCCAGCTGTCCCGTGTGCTATGAGAGTCTGTGGGTCTATGTGAGTCTCTAGACTGGTGCCAGCTGTCCCGTGTGCTATGAGAGTCTGTGGATCTATGTGAGTCTCTAGACTGGTGCCAGCTGTCCCGTGTGCTATGCGAGTCTGTGGGTCTATGTGAGTCTATAGACTGGTGCCAGCTGTCCCGTGTGCTATGAGAGTCTGTGGATCTATGTGAGTCTCTAGACTGGTGCCAGCTGTCCCGTGTGCTATGCGAGTCTGTGGGTCTATGTGAGTCTCTAGACTGGTGCCAGCTGTCCCGTGTGCTATGAGAGTCTGTGGGTCTATGTGAGTCTCTAGACTGCTGCCAGCTGTCCCGTGTGCTATGAGAGTCTGTGGGTCTATGTGAGTCTCTAGACTGGTGCCAGCTGTCCCGTGTGCTATGAGAGTCTGTGGATCTATGTGAGTCTCTAGACTGGTGCCAGCTGTCCCGTGTGCTATGCGAGTCTGTGGGTCTATGTGAGTCTATAGACTGGTGCCAGCTGTCCCGTGTGCTATGAGAGTCTGTGGATCTATGTGAGTCTCTAGACTGGTGCCAGCTGTCCCGTGTGCTATGCGAGTCTGTGGGTCTATGTGAGTCTCTAGACTGGTGCCAGCTGTCCCGTGTGCTATGCGAGTCTGTGGGTCTATGTGAGTCTATAGACTGGTGCCAGCTGTCCCGTGTGCTATGCGAGTCTGTGGGTCTATGTGAGTCTCTAGACTGGTGCCAGCTGTCCCGTGTGCTATGAGAGTCTGTGGATCTATGTGAGTCTCTAGACTGGTGCCAGCTGTCCCGTGTGCTATGCGAGTCTGTGGGTCTATGTGAGTCTATAGACTGGTGCCAGCTGTCCCGTGTGCTATGAGAGTCTGTGGGTCTATGTGAGTCTCTAGACTGGTGCCAGCTGTCCCGTGTGCTGTGCGAGTCTGTGGGTCTATGTGAGTCTCTAGACTGGTGCCAGCTGTCCCGTGTGCTGTGCGAGTCTGTGGGTCTATGTGAGTCTCTAGACTGGTGCCAGCTGTCCCGTGTGCTGTGCGAGTCTGTGGGTCTATGTGAGTCTCTAGACTGGTGCCAGCTGTCCCGTGTGCTGTGCGAGTCTGTGGGTCTATGTGAGTCTCTAGACTGCTGCCCCGTGTGCTTTACCCTCCCCCCCCCCCGCAGCGTTTGAAGTGGCGGCGGCGGTGGTGGCGCGTGGAGTGCGCTGGAGCTGCGTGGCGCGGCTGAGCGCCTGCGTGGGCTTCTGCGAGTCGAGCGCCTTCCCCTCGCGCTTCTCGGTGCTCCGCGCCTCCGGCTACCGCCACAACGTCACCTCGGTGGCGCAGTGCTGCACCGTGAGCCGCCTGGAGAAGGTAGCGGGGAGGGGCGCACCGCCGGCACCGCTCGGCTCCGTGGGCCACGCGACAGCTCACGCCGCTCGTGACCGCGTACCAGCTCACCCACGTACCACGTGCCCACGTGCCCACCTACCGCGTACCACGTGCCAGCTCACCCACGTACCACGTGCCAGCTCACCCACGTACCACGTGCACACGTGCCCACCTACCGCGTACCACGTGCCAGCTCACCCACGTACCACGTGCCAGCTCACCCACGTACCACGTGCACACGTGCCCACCTACCGCGTACCACGTACCAGCTCACCCACGTACCACGTGCCAGCTCACCCACGTACCACGTGCACACGTGCCCACCTACCGCGTACCACGTGCCAGCTCACCCACGTACCACGTGCCCACGTGCCCACCTACCACGTACCCACGTGCCTACCTACCACGTACCACGTGCCAGCTCACCCACGTACCACGTGCCCACGTGCCCACCTACCGCGTACCACGTGCCAGCTCACCCACGTACCCACCTACCACGTACCCACGTGCCTACCTACCACGTACCACCTGCCAGCTCACCCACGTACCACGTGCCCACGTGCCCACCTACCGCGTACCACGTGCCAGCTCACCCACGTACCCACCTACCACGTACCCACGTGCCTACCTACCACGTACCACGTGCCAGCTCACCCACGTACCACGTGCCCACGTGCCCACCTACCGCGTACCGCGTACAAGCTCACCCACCTACCGCGTACCAGCTCACCCACGTACCCACCTACCACGTACCCACGTACCCACGTGCCCACATACCCACTTACCCACGTACCCACGTACCCACTTACCCGCGTACCACGTCCGGTTGGCTTGGCAGATCAGATGCGGGCACGATTGGGCGGAAAACGAAAACACGTCCATCATAGTGTGGTCTGTTTCGTGATTGTTTGGGTTTAGATCGCCTCGATATGAATGTGTCTTTTGTAAAAAAAAATATGAATTCGTCGTTTACAGACGCATTTATATTTAGGCGATCCCACCAAAAAAAACTTTTGTTGTGGATAATATTGGTCGCGAAAGCCCTTCGACCACTGTTTCTGTATGTTAACCCGACGATAACACAGTGGGTGGTGATGATGATGGTGGTGGAGATGGTGGTGGTGGTGATAATGATGGTGGTGATGATGGTAATGATGGTGATCATGATGATTAAGGTGATGATAGTAATGATGTGGTGTGTATGTGATGGTGTGGTGTATGTGTTATGGTGTATATGTGATGGTGTGGTGTGTATGTGATGGTGTGTATGTGATGGTGTGGTGTGTATGTGATGATGTGTATGTGACGGTGTGTATGTGATGGTGTGTATGTCATGGTGTGTATGTGATGGTGTGTATGTGATGGTGTGTATGTGATGGTGTGTATGTGACTGTGTGTATGTGATGGTGTGTTTGTGATGGTATGTATGTGTTGGTGTGTATGTGATGGTGTGTATGTGATGGTGTGTATGTGATGGTGTGTTTGTGACGGTGTGTATGTGATGGTGTGTATGTGATGGTGTGTATGTGATGGTGTGTATGTGATGGTGTGTATATGACGGTGTGTATGTGATGGTGTGTATGTGATGGTGTGTATGTGATGGTGTGTATGTGACGGTGTGTATGTGACGGTGTGTAAGTGATGGTGTGTATGTGATGTTGTGTATGTGATGGTGTGTATGTGATGGTGTGTAAGTGATGGTGTGTATGTGACTGTGTGTATGTGTGGTGTGTATGTGATGGTGTGTTTGTGACGGTGTGTATGTGATGGTGTGTATGTGATGGTGTGTAAGTGATGGTGTGTATGTGTTGGTGTGTATATGATGGTGTGTATGTGATGGTGTGTAAGTGATGGTGTGTATGTGTTGGTGTGTATGTGACTGTGTGTATGTGATGGTGTGTAAGTGATGGTGTGTATGTGATGGTGTGTATGTGATGGTGTGTATGTGATGGTGTGTAAGTGATGGTGTGTATGTGACTGTGTGTATGTGACCGTGTGTATGTGTTGGTGTGTATGTGATGGTGTGTATGTGATGGTGCTACTCTAGGTGCGGGTGCCGTGTGGTGATGACGGGGACTGGGTGGAGGCGTTCACTGCTCGGAGCTGTCAGTGCGACACGTGTCGCCTCTCCCGATACTGAGCAACCCGCACCACCACCTCCTCCTCCACCTCCTCCACCACCACCTTCTCCACCTCCACCTCCTCCTCCTCCACCACCACCTCCTCCACCTCCTTCTCCACGACCTTCTCCACGACCTCCTCCTCCACCACCTCCTCCTGAACAAGCTCCTCCACCACCTCCTCCTCCACGACCTCCTCCTCCACGACCTCCTCCTCCACCTCCTCCTCCACCTCCTCCTCCACCTCCTCCACCTCCTCCTCCACCTCCTCCTCCACCTCCTCCTCCACCTCCTTCTCCACGACCTCCTCCTCCACCTCCTCCACCTCCTCCTCCACGACCTCCTCCAACTCCTCCTTCTACACCTCCTCCTCCTCCTACACCTCCTCCTCCTCCACCTCCTCCTACACCTCCTCCTCCACCTCCTCCTCCTCCACCTCCTCCTCCTCCACGACCTCCTCCTCCACCTCCTCCTCCACCACCACCTCCTTCGCAAAATTGCCCACTCAGACACACACAAAGACCACAGCAACACTCATTCACCAACTCACCCACTGACTCACTCGCTCACCCACTCGCCACACTACAGCTCTCAATAACACTCACTCACCCACTCACTCATCCACTCACTCACCCACTCACTCATCCACTCACTCACCCACTCACTCATCCACTCACTCACCCACTCACTCATCCACTCACTCACCCACTCACTCACTCATCCACTCACTCACCCACTCACTCATCTACACACTCACCCAATCACTCATCCACTCACTCACTCACTCACCCACTCACTCATCCACTCACTCACTCACTCAACCACTCACTCACTCACCCAATCACTCATCCACTCACTCACTCAACCACTCACTCATCCACTCACCCACTCACTCATCCACTCACTCACTCACTCACCCACCCCACTCACCCACTCACTCACCCACTCACTCACCCACTCACTCACTCACCCAATCACTCATCCACTCACTCACTCAACCACTCACTCATCCACTCACCCACTCACTCACCCACTCACTCACTCACTCACCCACCCCACTCATCATCCACTCACTTATCCACTCACTTATCCACTCAACCACTCACCCACTCACCACACTCCAGCTCTCAATAACACTCACTCACCCACTCACTCATCCACTCACTCACCCACTCACTCATCCACTCACTCACCCACTCACTCATCCACTCACTCACCCACTCACTCATCCACTCACTCACCCACTCACTCACTCATCCACTCACTCACCCACTCACTCATCTACACACTCACCCAATCACTCATCCACTCACTCACTCACTCACCCACTCACTCATCCACTCACTCACTCACTCAACCACTCACTCACTCACTCACCCAATCACTCATCCACTCACTCACTCAACCACTCACTCATCCACTCACCCACTCACTCATCCACTCACTCACTCACTCACCCACCCCACTCACCCACTCACTCACCCACTCACTCACCCACTCACTCACTCACCCAATCACTCATCCACTCACTCACTCAACCACTCACTCATCCACTCACCCACTCACTCACCCACTCACTCACTCACTCACCCACCCCACTCATCATCCACTCACTTATCCACTCACTTATCCACTCACCCACTCACCCACTCACCACACTCCAGCTCTCAATAACACTACCCCCTCGTGTGCCTTGCCGGCCTTTATAGGCGCTCGCGAACAGCACTTGCCCCTACATTCTGTTAAGGCTATGCGGGGGATCTTTGTCTACACACACACACGTACTCACGCACACTCACACAACAACAACCGCCATTCGCCACTAAGTGGCGGTGATGTCACCACGACGCGTGTGCCAGGCTAGGTACACGTTGAGGCCTCGTGAAGTGTCGAATGCCCGCTGGCAGGAGGTCACGGGGCAGACCCAGGTGCCGCAGGTCGACTGACCGAGATGACTGGCTGATGCACCACCTGTGCCCCCTACTGTGCCAACCTGCTGTCCTTTAGCCACCCGGCGCTCCGCTCGTTGTTGTGAGCGTCGCTGCTCCGCCCTCCATTGTTGTTGGAGGGCGACTGCCTCCAACTGCCCAGCAGCGTCATTCAGGAGCCTCCTCCACAGAGGCCGATCTTGACACCGCTGGTACCGGTCATCGGCAAGTCCACTCAGCTACACGTCCTCCTGTACCACATCACGCTATCTCTTCTCTAGCCCGTGCCGCGCCCGTTTAGCCCCCTCGATCCGGCCGAACAAAAGCTGTTTCGGCATGCAGTGGCTGGGCATGCAGGCTACATGACCCAGCCAACGCAGCCTTGCCTGCCGGAGGAGCTCACCGATGGGACCTTGCCCAGATCTTTCAAGAATTTGTGAGCTCCTCACACAATCCAGCCTGGTAAAACCCAGGATGGATCGTAGGCAGGCTAGCCTAAATGTTTCTAACCGGCGAAGATGTTCCATTAGGGGGGGTCCACGTTTCGCAAGCATAGAGAAGGGAGGGGATGACTGTGGCCGAGAAGACCTGAAGCTTAGTGCGGAGCGACAGACCAGGTAGCTTCCATACAGCGTTACGCAACCGATGAAAATATGTTGCCGCTCGACTGATTCGGAGTGAAACCTCTGCTGTTAAACTGGAGCCGGTCATCAGCACACTGCCCAGGTATGGGAAACTCTCCACTCTCTCCACAACTGCCCCATCACCGATTGGGAGTTGTGGGGGTGGAGTGTCCGATGGTACAAAATACCCAGGCAGGTGCTTAGTTTTGGTGTGGCTGATGGTAAGGCCCCACCTCTTAGTGGCACGCTCCTGTCTCAGCAGCAGCGTTTCCAACTCCTCCTCTGAATGAGCAGCTATTACCAAATCATCGGCATACATCACGTGGTTGAGCAATATGGAGCCATCCTTTGACCACACCCGGGCATCGATCAGCCTCCCATTATATCTCTACCATATGGAGATTCCCCCGGTACAGCTATTGAAGGCTTCACGAACTACGTGGTCAAAATAGATGTTAAATAATGTGGGAGCCAGAGGACATGCCTGTCGCACTCCAAGGTGTACAGGGAATGGCTCTGACTCCCAGCCATGTAGTTTTACCCGGGCCTGCTCACCATCATGAAGGTCCTTAATGATCATGAGCAGAGGGTCAGGTACTCCAAAAGCACGAAGAACAACCCAGAGCCCAGGCCTACTGATGGTATCATAGGCCTTGACCAGGTCAATAAAGCAGAGATGTAGGTCTTGCTGGAATTCCCTACACCTTTGCTGTAACAGACGGACATAAAATATGGCATCTGTGCAGGACCGCCCTTTCCTGAAACCGCATTGGGGCCCCGCAAGCCTCTCCTCAGCGTGCCTGGCAAGGCGATGTTGAATAATCCTTGCCAGGACCTTTCCCGGCACACTGAAGAGTGAGATGCCCCTGTAGTTGTTACAGTCTGTGCGGTCCCCCTTCTTAAAAAGGGGGACCACCAGGGCATCCTTCCAATCCTGCGGAACCCGTCCAGTGTTCCAGACTGTTGTTATGATGTCATATAGGGCAGTGTGTGCACAAACGCCGCCCTCCCTCAGCATTTCGCTTGGGAGATCATCTCTGCCCGGTGCCTTTCCTGGTCTCAGACTCCGGATCGCCTTCAGTACTTCCTCAGCAGATGGTACCTCAGCCAGCCACTTACAGGGGGTGACTTCTTCCAATATTTGAGGCACCGCAGCCTCAGCAGGGTCATCCTCACTTTGTGCCACGATGTTTTCCTGGCTGAGGGATTTTCCCTCCCCCAGGACCTCACAGAAATGGTCAGCAAATCTGCAAACCTGTTCCTGGGGGTCGGAGATTGGGTCACCGTTTTTTCCCCTGATGGTAATAGGTGTGGTGCTGCAGATTACTTTTTTGATGGAGTTAAATAGAGATTTGTGATCGCGGGCCACTGAGGCAGACTCCATCTCCTCAGCAACCCGCGACCACCACCCATCCTTGCAGCGCCTCACGGCTCTCCGAACCTCCGAGCGAAGGCTGCGGTAAACCTCCTCATTCTCTGACGTGGGATGCTGTAGCCGATGACAGTGGGCCTGTCGCTTTTTCTCAACCATCCTGAACACCTCCTCTGTCAGCCAGGGTCTCTGGGGGGTCTGGACCGCATACCCAAAGCAGCCATTGCAGCTGCATGAGTCACAGTCCTAAACCTCGCCCATTTACCCTCTACATCAGGAGTAGTCGGGGACGATGCCAATCCCAGCCGCAAGCGATGATGAAATTCTCGCTTGCAACTTTCATCAGATAACTGAGACCAGGCCACTTTAGGTTGGAATGGGGTCCTGGGTGTAGACCCACCACCGGAGTGGAAGAATGGCAGGCGCATCTTACAGATGACTGGTCGATGGTCAGAGGGCAGATCAACTCCACGGTAGGTCCTGGTGTCAAGGACATGGGCTCGCATCCACTGGTCCGTCACTATGTAGTCCAGCAGATGTTCTTGCTTGGACCCGGCATGCATCCATGATGTTGTATGGATGCGCCGATGCCGGAACAGCGTGTTGGTAATTACAAGCCCATGGGTTCCACAAGAATCTAGCAGCCTCCTACCGTTGTTATTGAGCTGATCTGGCCCATGTCCTCCAATCACTCCAGACAAGGTGTCAGTATCATGACCAACTCGGGCATTGAAGTCACCCAACATGATGACTCTATCCCGAGGGGCCACTTTAGCCAGCACCTGTGACCGGAGGTCATAGAAGGCATCTGACTCATCGGCTTTGCCTGCATCCCTCCACGGATGTTCATCTTTGGTGGGGGCATAAGTAACCACGACCACCATTCCTCGCCTCCGGTTGATGGAAAGGCGAGCCCAAAGTAGCCTGGGACTTACAGCTTCCCACACCTCACCGACACGCTCCCACGCCCCTTTCATTCTTTTGTTCAAAAGAAGAGCCACACCCTGTTGTTTGGCAGTCTGCTGCCCCGAGTAGAGGACTGTCCGCCCCTCATGGTGGCAGGAGCCAGAGCCGGTCCACCGGACCTCCTGAATGCCACATAGATGCAGGCGGTACCGGTCCAGCTCCCGACAGAGAAGTGGCAGCCTCTCCTCCGCAGTGAGCGTTCGAACATTCCACGTGGCCACCCGTAGTGGTTTTTCGTTGTTTCTGGAGGAACCCCGAGGGTAGATATTCAATCTCCTGGCTCCGCCAATTGGGGTTTGGCCAGGAGACGTCATAGACGCCTGGCCCCCCGGGGCCCCCGGCACAAGCTTATTAGTTATGTACTTAATTCGCGGTTTAGTGGTAATTAATTTAAGGTGGAGGGGTTACCAGCCCCTCGCACCCGTCCAGAGCCCCCGTTTAGCCCCTGTGGTGGACACATATGCCATGAGGGGAGGAGCCAATCACAATTGGACCTCCCCCCACATCACTGTCCACGACAGAGTTGCCCGTCCGGCACCGCGAGGAGGTAGGGGGTTGTTTTCACACACACACTCTCACACACACTCACACACACACTGCCACACACACACTCTCACACACACACTCTCACACACACACTCTCACTCACACACTCTCACACACACACACACACACTCTTACACACACACTCTCACCCACACACTCTCCCACACACACTCTCCCACACACACTCACCCACACACTCTCACACACACACACTCTCACACACTCTCACCCACACACACACACTCTCACACACTCTCACACACTCTCACACACTCTCACACACTCTCACACACACACTCTCACTCACACACTCTCACTCACACACTCTCACTCACACACACACACACTCTTACACACACACAAAGATAAAAAGACAAAGATCCCCCATATAGCCTTAACAGACTGTAGGGGCAAGTGCTGTTAGCGAGCACCTATGAAGGCCGGAACGGTACACGAGGGGGTGGGTGGCCAGCACCACGCCCGACCGCCTTTGTCTCCCTAGTGGCAATGTTTACACACCGCACCAGGTACTCATTTGAGGCTGAGTCGACCTAGGGGAGGCCTGGGACCGGTTCAGATAATCGTCACTGGTGTTGGCCGTGAGCGGGAATCGAACCCGGGTCGCCAGGTTCATAGCGCAGCGCGCTAACCGCTACACTACTGCTCCCCACACACACTCACACTCTCACACACACTCTCGCCCACACACACACTCACTCACACACACTCACACACTCTCACACACACACTCTCACACACACACACTCACTCACACACTCACACACACACACACACTCTCACACACACTCACTCACACACTCTCACACACACACACACTCACTCACTCTCACCCACACACACTCACACACACCCACACACTCTCACTCACACACACACTCTCACACACTCACACCCACACACACTCTCTCACACACACACTCTCACTCACACACTCTCACCCACACACACACACACTCTCTCACGCACTCTCACTCACACACTCTCACTCACACACTCACACACACTCTCACCCACACACACACTCACACACCCACACGACTAAGATCCCCGCGACACCCCCCGCATCCTCACATGGCACGCCGCTGGTGTCGAGCACGCGGCGCCGCTGCGTCAAGCCGCGCCTCTCCGCCTTTGTCTCCCCGGCGCTCGTTGTTCACCCACCGAACCGCGCGCTCATTTGAGGCCGAGTCGACCTTGACGAGGTTCCGCGTCTCGCGCCCAGTGACTCCACGCAGCGAATTCCGCGTTGGTTCACGCGCAGCGCGCGAGGGGTTCATTGCAGCTCGCGGGGCACGGGACGACGGCGAGTTGCTGAACGCGTCCTGGAGACCTCAATAAAGACACCGTCTGGACCCGTGCCGCCTGTACCCGTGCCGTCTGTACCCGTGCCGCCTGTACCCGTGCCGTCTGTACCCGTGCCCTCTGTACCCGTGCCGAGCCCCGTGCCGTCTGTACCCGTGCCGCCTGTACCCGTGCCGTCTGTACCCGTGCCGCCTGTACCCGTGCCGCCTGTACCCGTGCCCTCTGTACCCGTGCCGAGCCCCGTGCCGTCTGTACCTGTGTGTGGTGTGTGTGTGTGGTGTGTGTGTGGTGTGTGTGGTGTTTGTGTGTGTGGTGTGTGTGTGGTGTGTGTGTGCGGTGTGTGTGGTGTTTGTGTGTGGTGTGTGTGGTGTTTGTGTGGTGTGTGTGTGTGTGGTGTTTGTGTGTGGTGTGTGTGTGGTGTGTATGTGTGTGGTGTATGGTGTCTGTGGTGTGGTGTGTGGTGTGTGCGTGTGGTGGGTGGGTGGTGTGTGTGGCGTGTGTGTGGCGTGTGTGTGTTTTGTGTGTGCGTGTGGAGTGTGTGTGGTGTGTGTGGTGTGTGTGGTGTGGTGTGTGCGTGTGGTGGGTGGGTGGTGGGTGGTGTGTGTGGCGTGTGTGTGGCGTGTGTGTGTTTTGTGTGTGCGTGTGGCGTGTGTGTGGTGTGTGTGCTGTCTATGTGGTGTGTGTGTGTGTGTGTGGTGTTTGTGTGTTGTGTGTGTGTGGTGTGTGTGTGTTGTGTGTGTGTGTGGTGTCTGTGTGGCGTGTGTGGTGTGTGTGGCGTGTGTGTGTGTGTAGCGTGTGTGTGGTGTGTGTGTGTGTGATGTGTGTGGCGTGTGTGTGTGCGGTGTGTGTGCGGTGCGTGGTGTGTGTGTGTGTGCGATGTGGTTGTGCACACTGCTGAGTAATAATGGCGATTGATTCATTTGGTCAGAATAATTGTCCAATGATGACAATGATGCTCGATTGGCAATGAGGCGATGGGTCTCTACTACGCGTAGTGATGGATTGGTGAGGATGCTTGTGGTGCCACGGTGGCTAGGAGATGTTAACCACCTCGCCTGGTATACAGGAGATTGTGGGCTCGATCCCGACCCTGACACACCTGTTGCTGCTGTATATTTGGGGTTTGTCTCTCTCTCTCTCTCCGTGGTCGCGTGAATTTTTCTCCGGCTCCTCCGGTTTTATTTTTGCCCTACACGTTGAGAATCACGCGTTTAGAGTGTTTGGCAAAAAAACATATTTTATTTCCACACATTACGACGATGACGACAAGCGACTTCGTTCAGCTATCGTTTGCGACAGCCAGGTCGCGTCTGAATTAGAGCTACTACGTAACTCAGTGAAAAGTGATGAGTAGTGACGAGTGACGAGTGAGCGATGATGATGATGGTGATGATGATGGTGATGATGGTGGTAATGAAGATGGTGATGATGATGATGGTGATGATGGTGATGGTGATGATGATGGTGATGATGATGGTGATGATGATAATGGTGATGATGATGGTGATGATGGTGGTGGTGCTGCTGGTGCTGCTGGTGGTGATGCTGGTGGTGAGATCACGTTGGTAGGAGGAGGAGGCAGGGCCTACGAGCGAATGCCACCGCTTCATGGCGGGACGCGGATGGCTGGCTGGAGGACGGGCTGGGGGACGGGCTGGAGGACGGGCTGGGGGCCCTCCGCCTTCGCAGCCAAAGCCACAGCCACGGGTCCACAGGGGCAGCGGCGGCTGAGCGGAGCGGCGGCGGCGCCTCGCCTCTGCTCCCCCTGGCCAACACATCCGCAGCGTTGGCGACTGGTGGAGAGATTCTCCACCAACCCGACTCGTTCAGCGAGGCTGGGCGAGTGGGGTTGTTCCCTTTGAAGAGGTGACGCGAAATCCGCCGTGACGGCGGCGGTTGTGGGTGGTTGTGGGTGGTTGTGGGGGTGGTTGTGAGGGTGGTTGTGGGGGTGGTTGTGGGTGGTTGTGGGGGTGGTTGTGGGGTGGTTGTGGGGGTGGTTGTGGGGGTGGTTGTGGGGGTGGTTGTGGGTGGTTGTGGGTGGTTGTGGAGGTGGTTGTGGGTGGTTGTGGGGGGTGGTTGTGGGTGGTTGTGGGTGGTTGTGGGTGATTGTGGGTGGTTGTGGAGGTGGTTGTGGGTGGTTGTGGGGGTGGTTGTGGGTGGTTGTGGGGGTGATTGTGGGTGATTGTGGGTGGTTGTGGGGGTGGGGGGTCTCCGTGCTACGGCTGGGGGGCTTCAGAAGGTCTCGCAGGCGGTGTGTGCCGTGGAGCACGCCTGGCAGTCGCAGCTGACGGCCACGGGGAAGGTGAAGTGCGGGTCCACGTGGGCGCGGCACAGCGGCAGGCGGACGGTGCGCGGCCGCGTCTCGTTGTAGGTGCACACGCGGTGGTGAGCCTCCACGAAGGGCGCCTCCAGAGTGGGCTTCTGTGGACACACGCGGGGACACGCGGGGACACGGGGGAGGACACGCGGGGACACGCGGGGACACGGGGGAGGACACGCGGGGACACACGGGGACACGTGAAGACCCCCTGTGAGGATTGCCTTGACAGACTGTTGGAGCAGCAAAGTGCTGTGAGTAGCGAAGTCTTCATCTGGGCTGCGGCTGACGTCAAAAAATAAACAAGCAGCCCATGCATCCGTCCGGCGGTCGATAAAATGAGTTCCGCTTTGTGAAGAAGTCGACATCGGTTCCCTTATGGGATGGACTCGCCCCCCACCGTATTAGGAATATGAAATAGCCATCACTAGGTGAGGACTGTAGGTAGCAGGTAAACACCGCCTCAACGTCAAACACAAATCATAAATCTCGTACAGGATCCTCCCGTCCACCATCGACCGAATCAGAGACCCTGTGACCACCGACCGGATCAGGGATCCCAAATATACAGCAGCAGCAGGCGTCGTCAGGGTCGGGATCGAACCCACGACCTCCTGTACACCAGGCGAGGTAGTTAACATCTCACTACTGGGAGAGAGAGAGAGAGACGCAGACTTCATATATACAACAGCAGGCGACCTCCTGTACACCAGGCGAGGTAGTTAACATCTCACCACTGGGAGAGAGAGAGAGACGCAGACTTCATATATACAACAGCAGGCGACCTCCTGTACACCAGGCGAGGTAGTTAACATCTCACCACTGCGAGAGAGAGAGACGCAGACTTCATATATACAACAGCAGGCGACCTCCTGTACACCAGGCGAGGTAGTTAACATCTCACCACTGGGAGAGAGAGATGCAGACTTCATATATGCAACAGCAGGCGACCTCCTGTACACCAGGCGAGGTAGTTAACATCTCATAGCCACCGTGGCACTGTGGCGTGGCCATCACCACGCCCCTGGCCGCCTTTGTCTCTCCTGTGTCAATGTTTACGCGTCGCACCAGGTACATATTTGAGGCTGAGTCGACCTATAGGGGGGGGAGGCTCAGGACCGGTTCACTAATAAGCAGCTGCTTGAGAATACGTTTTCCGCTTTTGTCTGGCAACAAAACAGCTGTGTTTAAGATGTTAAAACACCAAACTGAAACCTTGTACGAGGAATCATGTCTGCATTAACCACAATACTGCTGCCTATTCTGGGCTACAAAGAAAGCTGTCTCTGGTGTGGTGGACCAATCCGTTTCAAAGACAATGCATCATCATCATATACTATCAGGGTATACTCTTTGGTTCTTTCGGTAAGGTCACGTAGGTAGAAATAAAATAAAAAATAAAACAGATCGCGACGTTTCGATCGCAACACGAGCGATCTTCATCAGGTGGAACAACCACAGCAAGAAAATACTTCAGCATTTTCCTGCAGTCACGAAAGCTTCCAATGAAGTTGTCCGAGGATGTTATTACTGCTTCTTCGTCCTGAGCGGAAATCTAAATCGGATTGGCAAGTTCGTAGCGCAGCGCGCTAACCGCTGCGCCACCGCTCCGCCACACCTAGACACGCCGCACTGCACACGGTGACACAACAACAACAACAACAGCAGCCGACATTCGCCACTAAGTGGCGGTGACGTCACGCACGCACCTTGTGCCAGGCCATGTGCACTTTAAGGCCCCACGTGAAGTTGTCGAAAGCTCGCTGCTGGCAGGAGGTCACGGGACAGGCCCAGGTGTTTTGGGTTGACTGACTGAGATGGCTGGCAGAGACACCACCTGTGCTCGCTACTGCGCCAGACAAACTTGCGGTTTAGCCGCTCGGCGCTCAGCTCGTTGTTGTGAGCGTCGCTCCTCGGCCCTCCGTTGTTGCTGGAGGGCCTCTGCCTACGAATGCCCAGTAGCAGCGTCCTTCACGAGCCTCCTCCACAGAGGCCGATCTTGACACCGCTGGTATCGGACATTGTTAAGTCCACTCAGCTCCACGTCCTCCCGTACCACATCACTCCATCTTTTCTCTAGCCCGTTCCGTGCCCGTTCAGCCCCCTCTATGCGGCCAAACAGAAGCTGCTTGTGCATGCGGTGGCTGGACATGCGGGCTACGTGACCCAGCCAACGCAGCATCGCCTATCAGAGGAGCTCACCGATGGGACTGTGTCCCAATATTCCAAGGGGCTGCTCACACGATCCATCCTGGTTAAACCCAGGATGGATCGAAGGCAGGCGAACCTTTTCAACCGGAGCAGATGTTCCATTAGAGGGGTCCACGATTCGCAAGCACAGAGAAGGGAGGGCATGACCGTGGAAGAGAAGACCCCGAAGCTTCATGCGGAGCGACAGAACCCGGTAGCTTCCACACAGCAGCGTTACGCAACCGATGAAAAGATAATGCCGCCCGACTGATTCGGAATGAGACGTCTGGCTGTCAAACCTGAGCTGGTCACGAACACACTACCCAGGAACAACAGCTTCTCCACTCTTTCCACAACTGCCCCATCACTCACAGGGAGCTGAGGGGTGGAGTATTTGATGACACAAAACACCCAGGCAGGTGCTTGGTTTTTTTTGTGGCGCTGGTGGTTTTTGGTGTGTTACGGGCGAGCCAACAAAGACAAAGATCCCCCGTATATCCTTAACAGACTGTTGGGGCAAGTGCTGTTAGCGAGCACATATGAAGTGCAGAACGGCACACGAGGAAGTGGGTGACCAACACAACACCCGGCCGCCTTTGTCTCCCCAGTGGCGCAGCGTGATGAACCTACAGGTGAGCGTGCTGAGTGTGCCAGGAGTGATGAACCTACAGGTGAGCGTGGTGAGTGTAGCAGGATGATGAACCTACAGGTGAACGTGGTGAGTGTAGCAGGGGTGATGAACCTACAGGTGAGCGTGGTGAGTGTAGCAGGTGATGAACCTACAGGTGAACGTGGTTAGTGTAGCAGGGGTGATGAACCTACAGGTGAGGGTGGTGAGTGTAGCAAGGGTGATGAACCTACAGGTGAACGTGAAGAGTGTAGCAGGGGTGATGAACCTACAGGTGAACGTGGTGAGTGTAGCAGGGGTGATGAACCTACAGGTGAGCGTGGTGAGTGTGTCAGGGGTGATGAACTTACAGGTGAGCGTGGTGAGTGTAGCAGGGGTGATGAGCATACAGGTGAGCGTGGTGAGTGTGTCAGAGGTGATGAACCTACAGGTGAACGTGGTGAGTGTAGCAGGGGTGATGAACCTACAGGTGAGCGTGGTGAGTGTAGCAGGGGTGATGAACCTACAGGTGAACGTGGTGAGTGTAGCAGGGGTGATGAACCTACAGGTGAACGTGGTGAGTGTAGCAGGAGTGATAAACTTACAGGTGAACGTGGTGAGTGTAGCAGGCGTGATGAACCTACAGGTGAACGTGGTGAGTGTAGAAGGGTGATGAACCTACAGGTGAGCGTGGTGAGTGTGTCAGGGGTGATGAACCTACAGGTGAACGTGGTGAGTGTAGCAGGGGTGATGAACCTAAAGGTGAACGTAGTGAGTGTAGCAGGATGATGAACCTACAGGTGAGCGTGGTGAGTGTAGCAGGGGTGATGAACCTACAGGTGAACGTGGTGAGTGTAGCACGGTGATGAACCTACAGGTGAGCGTGGTGAGTGTGTCAGGGGTGATGAACTAAAGGTGAACGTGGTGAGTGTACAAGGGGTGATGAACCTATAGGTGAGCGTGGTGAGTGTAGCAGGGGTGATGAACCTACAGGTGAGCGTGGTGAGTGTAGCAGGGGTGAAGAACCTACAGGTGAACGTGATGAGTATAGCAGGGGTGAAGAACCTACACGTGAACGTGATGAGTGTAGCTGGGGTTATGAACGTACAAGTGAACGTGGTGAGTGTAGCAGGGGTGATGAACCTACAAGTGAGCGTGGTGAGTGTAGCAGGAGTGATGAACCTACGAGTGAACGTGGTGAGTGTAGCAGGGGTGATGAACCTACAGGTGAACGTGGTGAGTGTAGCAGGGGTGATGAACTTACAGGTGAACGTGGTGAGTGCAGCAGGATGATGAACCTACAGGTGAACGTGGTGAGTGTAGCAGAAGTGATGAACTTACAGGTGAGCGTGGTGAGTGTAGCAGGTGTGATGAACCTACAGGTGAACGTGGTGAGTGTAGCAGGGGTGATGAACTTACAGGTGAGCGTGGTGAGTGTAGCAGGGGTGATGAACCTACAGGTGAACGTGGTGAGTGTAGCAGGGGTGATGAACTAAAGGTGAACATGGTGAGTGTAGCAGGAGGGATGAACTTACAGGTGAGCGTGGTGAGTGTGTCACGGGTGATGAACCTACAGGTGAGCGTGGTGAGTGTAGCTGGGGTGATGAACCTACAGGTGAACGTGGTGAGTGTAGCAGGGGTGATGATCCTACAGGTGAACGTGGTGAGTGTAGCAAGAGTGATGAACCTGCAGGTGAACGTGATGAGTGTAGCAGGGGTGAAGAACCTACAGGTGAACGTGGTGAGTGTAGCAGGGGTGATGAACATACAGGTGAACGTGGTGAGTGTAGCAGGGGTGATGAACATACAGGTGAACGTGGTGAGTGTAGCAGGGGTGATTAACCTACAGGTAAACGTGGTGAGTGTAGCAGGGGTGACGAACCTACAGGTGAACGTGGTGAGTTTAGCAGGGGTGATGAACCTACAGGTGAACGTGGTAAGTGTAGCAGGGGTGATGAACCTAAAGGTGAACGTAGTGAGTGTAGCAGGATGATGAACCTATAGGTGAGCGTGGTGAGTGTAGCAGGATGATGAACCTACAGGTGAACGTGGTGAGTGTAGCAGGGGTGATGAACCTACAGGTGAACGTGGTGAGTGTAGCAGGGGTGATGAACCTACAGGTGAGCGTGGTGAGTGTAGCAGGGGTGATGAGCCTACAGGTGAACGTGGTGAGTGTAGCAGGGGTGATGAACTTACAGGTGAGCGTGGTGAGTGTAGCAGGGGTGATGAACCTACAAGTGAGCGTGGTGAGTGTAGCAGGGGTGATGAACCTACAGGTGAACGTGGTGAGTGTAGCAGGAGTGATGA